TACTCTGATTTGTTTGGCAATAAACTACATTAAATTCCTAAGTTGAGCCTGTTTTGCCTGTGACAGTGATTGGTGAATGATCTCTCCCTGTCCTTATCTCAACCAATGAGTGTTTCATCATATTCTCTCTACCCTGTACATATGATGAGGAGGAGTGATAGAGCTCCTTGTTGAGCATATGGCAGGAGCCAAGATCAACCCACCACAGTACATCATACGGACTTTTGCTAATAAGTCACATGGATGGAAATATCTCATCAATAGAGATCACAAGATGTCATCACTTCTAATGGAGTGAACATGCCTATGCAAAGGATGTCAATTCTGCATTTGTCCATGTTGTGGGGAGTGATGGGCAAGGTTAGATAAGAGAAAGCTGGAGGATAGATGGAGCCCACATACTTGCTTGATGTGCTGTAAAAGAACCTGTCAGTAAAAGCAATTTCAAGATGCATGTTTCTTTCTTTAAACAGTTCTTTCTTTACACATAATTTAAAAACATCCCAAAGATTGCCCTTTTCTATGGATGAAAAGAAAGAAATACAGTGAGACTGTCAGTGACTGATTTTGTGTGCTTTGTATGCTTGGTTTGTCATGCTTCGATCTGTTATGTAAAGCTTGCAAAGAGCAGGGTTGTCCCTTTTTTTTTACATGGCTTAGGGACTCCTGAATCATTAGCAATAAAGAACTAACTCCCTGACTGCCAAATCTTGCTGGCCCTACCTGTGCTTTTCCAGGTAGGTGTGTAGTCATCAGAGTTACTCAGCAGCATCTGCCACCAGTTCTTTACTTGTTAGACCCATGTCTGACCCAGTATTTTGCCTGTTAAATTCTTGATTTTCTCTAGTGCAAGTCCCACAATCGTTAGCTGTAACATCTAATAATAAGTATATTTCTATGAATTTTTTTTGCTGTGAGGGCAGTGAGACACTGGAACAGGTTGCCTAGAGAAGTTATGGATGCCCTATCTTCAAAAGTGTTCAAGTCAAGTTGGACAGAGCTCTGAGCAATCTGGTCTAGTGGAAGATGTCCCTGCTTAATGCAGGGGGGCTGGACGAGGTGATCTTTAAATCTCCCTTCCAACCCAAACCATTCTATTATTCCATGTTTCTAAGCACATACATCACTCAAACATGTTTGGAGTACAAGTCACAGGAGCTGTGCTGAAAGCATGTTTGGATGTGTATCTTGTAGCTACATAGGACACTTGTATTTAGTATGCTACATAGTGTGCTCGTTATTTAGCAGATAATATTAATGACAATGAGAACTTGTTACATTTCCTTTTCGTCATTTTTACTAGAAAAAGCTTTAATCTCGAAGTCCACCTAGGCAGTCTGCAGGCATCTCCCTCACTACAGATTTAAGAAAAATTGGTCTAGATAAACATCTGATAGCAAGATGTGCCAGACAATTTAGTAGGGTCTCTTCCAATCTGATATTTCTTAGGAAGTATCAGTTGTGCTAAGACATCACAGACGAAAGATGTGAAAATACAGGGTAAGATGCCAGACCTTCTGCTTTTACATTCTGTCTTTAATGCAAAGGTTTGACAAAAGTATTTAGTTGTGGGAGCATCACCTATTTCTGTACACTACCATGAGTGTGATGGGATATGTTCTTTAAGGTAAAAATTACCATGGCAACCCAAAATGCTGAAAGAGAGCCAAAGACTCCTTGAGGCAGGTGGGACTGTGTGTGTGTGTGTATGATCCATTGCACATATATTAGGGGATCATCCTAGCTCTATGTAATCTAATCTGTAAGATCCCCCACTGCACATATTTAATGTTATTGGTGTCAGTAGTCATAGTAGTAAAATTGAATATGCTTCTAAAAATTGGCAATGTAAGGATGATGCAGGAGAGAAGAAGTGGATACACAAACTTCCAGTGCGATTAATATTATTACCAGAAAAAGCACTAGTCTTGACTAAGAATCTTTTGTCAAAATCTCTGTAAACCTCTCAACAGCAGAAAGTACATATTATTTGCAGGGTTCATACGGAGATTCTTCTGGACATAAGAGATGGCGTGAAAGAAGTAATAACAGTTAAAAAAATAAATTTAAATGCAAATCTATTTTTAAACAATATTGAAGATAACCTGCAAAGGCAGTAACTTATTGGAGGATTTCTGTCTGAATTTATTTTTCTGCCTTAAGATCTTATTTGTCTTTTTATTTCCTCTTCTTAGAATATACTACCTAAGGAGTCCTTCTGCTGTGCCTTTTGCAACCGGACGTGCCTGTCTCATATTGGCCTTTTTAGCCACCAGTGCACTTGTAACAAATGTGGGTAGAGCCCTTCCCAAATTTTCGTTCACAAAGCCTAGCCATGATTTCCTCTTCTAAAAGATTTTATGATGAGGATTTTAATAGCACATCCATATCCCAAGCACCTAAAAAGGAAATACTTTTATGAAATTACATTGTGCATGTCCAAGTCTCCTTATCTCCTTTAAAATGGCTAGTAAATAACCATGGTCAAAAAGTTTTTCACCAAAGGTGTTTGGTTATTCCATGAAACTGTCAGCAACAATGAAGGTAGAAAACCACCACAAATTTCTACGTTCTTCTCTTTATGTGAAAGCAAAAAATACAGGAAGTGGAGGTAACTTACTTTAAGAATTTCCTGACAGGTTTAATTTGCAATCTTGGTCCATTAAGATGTCCTATTTTCTACTACTATGTATTGCAGAACAATTTCCACTATTTAACACTATGTTAAAAAAAAAAAGTCTTTTTTTGAAATGCAAGTGCAAAATACAATCAGTATTACTCTAATTAGGAGAAAAAATTAAGGGAGTATAAACCTTGGCCCTTTTTCTCTAGCCAAGAGAACTTTGTCAAAGCTTGTCATAAAAGGAGTTTTAAGGTGATCACTGATTTAAAAAAGTTCTATTGATGCTGTCTCCCAAACTCCCTCTTGTAATCTGTTTCAGCAAAGTTACATTATTTTGTGTGGTGGGTTGACCTTGGCTGGATGCCAGCTGTCCACCAAAGCCACTCTGTCACTCCCCTCCTCAGCTAGACAGGGGAGAGAGAATATAACAAAAGGCTCATGGATCAAGATAAGGACAGGGAGAGATCACTGAACAATTACTGTCACGGGAAAAATAGACTCAACTTGGGGAAAATTAATTTAATTTCTCATCAATCCAACCACAGTAGGATAATGGGAAATAACCCAAATCTTAGAAACACTTCGTCTCTCCACTCCTTCCTTCATCCCAGGCTCAACTTCCCTCACAATTTTCTCTACTTTCTCTGTCTGAGCAGGGCAGGAAGACAGGGAATAGGCATGGTGGTTAGTTCTTCACAAGTTGTCTCTGCTGCTGTTTCCCTTTAGGGGGAGGACTCCTCCCCTGCTCCAGCATGGGGGCCTTCCAAGGAAAACACTGAACTTCTCCAATGTAAGTCCTTCCCACAGACTGCAGTTCTTCACAAACTGCTCCAGCATGGGTGCCCCAGGGGATCACAAGTCCTGCCAGCAAACCTGCTTCAGTTTGGGCTTCTCTCTCCACAGGTCCTGACAGCAGCCTGCTCCAACACAGGCTTTGCACAGGGTCACAGCCTCTTGTGGGCATATCCACCTGCTCTCAGTGTGAGATCCTAAACAGGCTGCGGGTGGATCTCTACTCCACCATGGACCTCCATGGGCTGCAGGGGAATCTCTGCTCTAGAGCCTGGAGCGCTTCCTCCTCTTCCTTCTTCACTGACCTTGATGTCTGCAGAGTTTTTTCTCTCACATGTTCTCACTCCACTCTTGGGCTGCAGGTGTGCAAGTTGTTTTCACCCTTCTTAAATATATTACTCCAGAGGTGCCACCACAGTTGCTGATGGCCTTGGCCAGTTGCGAGTCTGTCTTGGAGTCGTTTGGCATCGTCTGTGTCAGACACGGGCAAAGTTTCTGGGGGGTTCTCAGAGAAGTCACCCCTATTGCCTCCCCATTAGCAAAACCTTGACACACAAACCCAATCCATTTGGACATGCACATAATAATTTTTAATGCACTGAATACCTGTTCCTCTGGTCCCAGAGGAACCAAAGCTGTCTTTGGTACATAACACTGAGAAGCCCATGGAATGGCTCCTGCCCCCCATATTGGGCTGCGATCCCAATTTGTGCCTAGCCTTCTTTGTTCAACAGATGCTACCATGGCTGTGCACCTACTGTTTCCCCAGTTCAGAGCAAAGGATCATCTCTATAAGACAAGGGTACACTTTATAGCCAGAGTCAAGAGCAAATGCTTTCCTCTCACAGAAACTTTTTTTTTTATTTTGGTGTTCGTCAGCTCCCTGGCAAGCAGGTCTTTCTGGAGGTGGACACTCAGGCGCTGTGGCCAGTGGTGGGTGGTGCTAGGGAACAAGGATGAATATTTTCCCTTGGTAAAGGACTTCTGCCAGCACTTGAGTTCAATCAGCACCCCATTTTGGCAAACTTGAGCAGCGGTGAGACCTAGGCTGGCCCCTGGTGTGGGCATCTGTTAGAGATGGGGAGGCAACACCTACTAACTGGATCCATGAGGCCACCATTCTTGGGATGTTTCATCCCTGGCCTCATGGTGAGCTGCCCAGCACCAAGAGACTACGTGTGGCCTTGCTCCTTCCTCCTTGCGACTACCACAGACCTCTGAGGCAGCTCCGGGCTACCTCTGTGTGCCAGGACCACAGGACAGGCGCTACCACGGCGGTGAGCGGTGGTGTGGTACCACCTCCCCCACGGAGGCTGGCTACGAAGAAGGTCCCAGGGCAGCCGCTGTGGTGAGCGATGGCACAGATACCGCATTATGTACCGCAGTGGCGGGGGCGGTGGTGCAGATACCACCACCCTGCCTGCCGGGTAGCAGGTACCACACCTCGCTCCGTGTGTGCGGGAGGGCGATGCAGGTCCCCGTAGCCGCCATGGCGGGCGGCGCGGAGCGAGCGGCGGCTCCGGGCGTATCAGCGGGAGTGCGTCAGCGGCGAGGGGCGGGGAGGCCGCCGCGGGAGATGATATCAGTCGCCGGGCAGCAGGACCAGGCGAAGCTGGAGGTGCGCAGAGGTTCGCCGTGAACGCTGCCAGGGAACCCGGCCGCCTCCGGTGCTACCTGCGCCTCTGCCTCCATCTCCATCGATCCTTGCGCCCTCGCCCGCCGCCGCCGACTGCCGGGCTGGTTGAGGTAAAGCGTGGCAGGGTGCCGAGGGTAACCTGCCGGGGCGTCCCGCATCCCGGCGCAGCCCAGCCGGGCCCGGCCAAGCGGCTGAGAGGGAGGGGGCGCAGCGGGAGGTGGGTGGGTGGGCCCGTGCAGCCGCTGCCCCGCGGCCCCTCGCCCGCGGCAGGTGCCGGGTGGCCGTAGCAGCCGCGTCCGCATCCCCGCAGCATCCCCGCCGCCGCCCCCCGGGGGCACCGCGCTCCCGCCGCGGGGCAGTGCCCGGCCCCCACTACCCCGCGCTGCCATTGCAGCCCGGGCAGGGCCGCGCCGCAGGCCACGGGCGGAGATGGCTGTGCCGCCCGGCCTCCGCGGGGCTTACACCATGCCGAGCTTGGTGTGAGTTCTGGCCCAGGCCACTCCACGATGGCCAGGACCAACCATCTTTTGTGGGGTCTTCTGTTATGGCTTTGAAATTTACGTATTATAACGTGTAGGATCTATTATACATCCATATACCTTTAACATAATAATTGTAATGCTACAGTAGCTATTTCCCACAAAGATGGCTCTGTGTGTGTGTGTGTGTGTGTGTGTGTATGTGTGTGCACAAATACATATGGACACGCACAGCCACACACCCCCCTTCTGTTTTCCTACATGCGATCTGTGGGTCTTTTTGAATTATATTTTGAGGTAGGGTTGATTCATTCTGCTTAAAACATGGATAAAGAATCTTCCCTAAGATACCCATTGATGGTGCATTCCTATCCTGCTTATGGAGTACTAAATGCAGCCTGAGAAAGTGGGTTACGCTAAGAGCTAGAGCAAAAGGTTTTACTAGCATTGATGGAAAACAGAATATATTAACTCACCAAATTTTTATATTTATTAATGTTCTGTTCAGAGAAAACCATGAAAGAATAATCTGTAAGCTCTTCTGAGCTGTGGAGTTTTCCGTTATTAATTACCAGAAATTTGGAAAACTAGCCTGTGGTATAGAGACACTGTCCAGCTGAAACTTGCCTTTTTGTGTATGTCCATGCAGGAGAGAGGAGGGAACTTTTTTCTCTTTCTGCATAAGTGCACATACTAATTTTATGTGTTGGGCTGCACCATTGGTCATAGCTTTATATTATAGCCCACAAGTTTTTATGGGGAATAAGCATTGTGGCAGAGTGATCAGTTTAATAAAATCGGTGATGCCTCACTGGATGTTCTTTAAAAAACTGCTGCAGGTCAGAGTGATCGTGGTCTTCCTTTTCCATCAAACTCTTCCTATAGGAACTCAGTGTATCTTCTCTCTGTTTCCTTAAACACACTGTTTAATTGTCCTCTGCTTAATTTACTGAAGAATATCGTGCTTTTTGTCTTAATGGAGTCTAGTGAGAAGACATTTTCGCACCGTTTTCATAGGGGGAAAACATTAGGGCAGAGAGTGTTATATATGATCAGGGTTTAAATTCAGGTGTTGTCAATGAGCATCTCAATTTCAACACTGTTTTATGAACTGCTGAGGACTCTGATATAGCAGCAGGTTTTTAAGTTATTTCCCTGTTCCCCTTTCCCCAGTCTGATCTTATGTATCGTCATCTTCGTGTGGAATCAGATGTTTTACAGTGTCTTTCTTTACTGTTGTGCAAGATGAGTAATTAAGATGGGATTCTGCTGTGCTTTTATAATTTACTCTCTCCAACAATACGTGATCCAGCCACACACTACCAAATCTTTTTGGAGTGTTTCATAACTAGTCCCTTTACACAGGAGCATTACTCTGAGAAATGACTTGGAAAATACTCTTAATTTATTCAGTATGCACATTAGAGGTAGATAATATCTCTTTTTGCTTTAATGATCAAAACTATGGGGTTTTATATGTCTATGTGTGTGGTTTTTTTTTTAATTGTCTATTAGTGTTGTAGAGATAATACAACTCAAAATTATATAAAAATCTTCTTATCCAAACATTCTATCAGCACAGTTTGGTTTAAATAGTTGTATTTGCATACCTAGTCCACTGCAGAATCTTTGCCAGCAAAAACCAGAGGAATTTCACTTCAGTATTAAGGCTGACACTTACTAATGCTTTTATTTTCATGTTTGAGACAAAATCATTAAAAGAAGAACATGAGATTTGGTGGTATTCATTTGCTTTACATTTCTTACATTTTAATTTCTTAGAATTAGTATCAATCTCTTATTTTGTACCAATCAATGAACATCATGTAGTGGTGATCATTTAAAGGTGTTACAAATTATGTTTCTGAATTTCAAATTCAAATAGTAATATTAGCGCTGAATATTACTTACACTTATTTTCACATTGCCATTCCTTAAATACTTATTCTGTGCAAGTTACTAGCTTCTCATTTCCTCACAGAAATACCTTACTCGCTATTCTCAGAGTTGTATTTTGGCCATCACATTGTATCAACTATACATTCCAGAAAACTACAGTCATCCCTTGGCCTGTGAAGGTTTGGGGCAGCTGTGGTAGAGGTGTACGCTTTTCGTTGGAACTGCTTTCATCAGTATATGTCTCTTGGGTAATCATTTTGTAAACTGTTGAAAAACAAAAAACCTTTTTCTTACAGTAGAAATGGGGTTTAAAAACTAAATAATTGTATCAGAATTCAACCTTCCTCTCAGACTTATGCTTCCAGCTGTTGCAGTGTGCATTAAACAAGTCTGAGTGGAAAAGCCTGCTCTAATGGATCTACTGCTTTGCTTTAAATATGACCAAAATGGCATCATGCAGTGACTTGATAGCAATTCTCTAGCATTCTTGGAGTTTTGTCTGCTTTTGCTGAATTTTTTTTTTTTTCTGAACAATTGGATGTGACAGCATATATTTATTAAATCATTTTAAATTTAGTCAGTGTTCTCCACTGAGCCTGATATTGTGAAGAAGCCTTTAAGTAGCTTGCTAAAATATGTAAAGGAATCCTGTCCCAAAAGAGTGATAAGCTTTCAGATCTTCCCTAAAATGTCACAAAAATTAGTGAGAGTTGTCAGGACTAACATATCTGTTTCTTTGTTTTCAAACTTACCTGGAAAATCTACTATTGTTTTAAATGATATATCTGTATGTACTAAATGATTAATTGAATTGAAAATCTAGGAAAATCTGTTTGTCTGAATTGTGTACTGAACTGTGTGTTGTACAGCCTATTCAAAGCAGCATTTTTGATTTGTTTTCAAATCCGAGTTGTTCCTCTCTTGGTCCTATACTTTGTTTTGTAGTAAATTAATATCTTATGTTATAATGCTGTAGGATAGGGTACCTCCATATTCACAGGGTCAGCATCTCTTGCTTTTGCTTATGGTTAAAAATTGTTTATGGACCAGGATGAATTGAATTCACTGTTACCCTTTCTTGTAGGCTTCATTGAAACATGTGGTTAAATAGGGGTGGTTAAAGGGTGGTTAAATAGGTTTCTTTAATTCTCTGGATCACTGAAGAGGAAGAATAATCAGTAAAGGTGTGGTCTCTGTCAAATCAGTAGCCCCTGAGGCTGTATAAGAAGAATACACCCTGTTCAGAAGTTGTGACATAGCAGTGTTTGTGAGCCTGCTCCTACACCTGCCTTTCCCAAGCACCAAGTATTGATGAAGTTCGAAAGGTACAAAATGCTGCATTCACCCTAAATGACTTCATACTTCTAATACACTAGGTGTTAAATTTTGAAGTATGTTTAAAGGAGTTTTTTGAAGGAGCAGGAGGTAATACACGGATTCCTGGCAACTAAGTGTTAAACTGAACATTGATTTAGGATTAGTATAATCAGTTAGTAGTACTAATACTGTTCTTTTTTTTTTTTTTTAATCAAAGTACAATATGGTGGTATGTTCAGAGGTCTGATTAGCTTACTTATCTTGTTCCAAACCCACCCCTAATAATCAAGTAATGTCTGCATTTCTAGTGAAGAGAGGTTATTGAAACTTTTCAAGCATTTTGTTTGTTTGTTTGTTTTCTCAAAAAATCAAGTACACATGTAACAGGATAGCCTAGGCACTAGGAGGTGTAGCTTAGAATTCGAAATTTACAGACATGTTGCAGTGAGAAGCAGGGGAAATGCAGTGTATTGACAGAACTGTGTAAGTTCTTGGAATGTCGGGATGTTTGTTGACTGAGATAAGGATAGGATGTCACCAGGGAGGAGGTTGTGTGTGAATTCCTTTCTGCTATTAGAGATATTTTTGCTAAAATTCTCAGACACAGAACTTCAATCCTGTAGTAACATGTTTATTGATACCTAGTGAATGCATGTTAGTGGATTTTTTTTTATCATACAGCTGTGGTAAGTTGAACAAAACCAGCAGTGGCTATACCCAGACAACTGTGGTAAACAAAACTTAGCTATCTGCAGTTACGAGATTGCTGAGAAAAAAGGTAAACACAGAGCTGCTCAGGAATGAGCTCTGTCTGCTAGGGATTTTGGAAAATCTTGATTTGGATGACAGCAAGTATGAACAATGGGAAGAAGAGATTCATTTTGGGGAAGAGGGACATAAGCCAGTTGATGTCTGAACAAATTCTTGATTCAGATTCTGAGCAATGAAATACTCCTTTTGATGTTTTAATCTCCCTTTCTTTTGGGAACAGGACTTGTACACAAACAAGAAATACCGGACCTTGCTACCTTTATTTTTTACCAGCTGGAGCAGCTTGCAAGATGCCTGACTCTTGCCTAGCTTCTCAGTCATATTGATACTAGGTTTGAAGTTTTGTTATGTGCTTGTTTTTCAGAGGATTGAGTTTAGTTCTAGTTTTATAGTTTTAGTTTATATATGCCTTTTTTCCATCCTTCTGAAGATGGGATGAGCACTGCTGAGTACAACTGTGAGCTAGACAAGAGTGGTCTGTTTTTGTGGCCTTTGTAAAGGTGAGGAAGTACTGATGGTGTTTGCTATAGACATATAGAACTGTTTACACCTATACTGTATTAGTGAGAATGATGTGTCACCTAGGATGGCAACTTGAAATATCTCGTCATAAAATGACTGGGCTCAGACAGAGTCTCAGTAAT